CTCATGTGAGCTGTTAACCAGCTCCAGCTCCTACTCATGTGAGCTGTTGATCAGCTCCTTTCATATGAGCTTGAAATGGTGTGCTAGCTCCCGCTCTCGGAACTGATATGGAACTGTCACACCCCTATACAGGAATCTTGAGAAAGTGCACGAGACTTTATGCCTCTCGCACGACACGTCTATATGTGTTAAAGGAACTGAGAATATTTAAATACATCCTTCACGACACTTGAGAGCTAGGTGTGTTAAAAAGATTTCTTATTTTCCATTTTTCTCCTCAACTACTGCATCAACCGAAAAACTAATTTCAGAATGATGATCACCATCTTCAAAAATATATCTTCTGTCATTTCCAGCAAAAACGGATAAAAAAAAGAAAAAAACATCGCCGTATGATAGATTTGAACAATCCATTGATGAATCTGAGGCACTTCCAGTAAAGAGGGTTTAGACAAGTAGACTATATCATTCCCCATGAAAAAAAGTTCATAAAAAAGAACGGGCAAAAAGAAGTTCATGAAAAAACGGTCCTGAAGACGCTTTTAGCGTTCTTTCAACTCGTTTTTCTCTTGAAAGAACGCGGTCGGAAAAAAAGCTCTTAGGTAAAAAGAAGTTCTTAAGCACCAAAAACGCGTTCTAAAAGAACGCTCAAAGCGTCTTTAACACCGGAAACTAAGGGTAGCCGTCAGAAATAATGGAATGCGTGGAACTTACTCTCTAGAAGGGTAACGACAGAACCTTTTAATAATGCGTTCCTGGGGTCTTACACTGAACCCGCGAACTATTTCTAATGTTCGTTGTGAGACCTGTGTTTTTCGTCGAATCCTGTCTGTTTTCTGTGTAGAATCGAAAAGTAGTTGCCAATATTTCTATCAGCTCTTTAAAACGAGGCATATTACAGAGCTGAGATGCGTTTGGAATTGCTCATAGCAGTATTCTCCCCAATACAACGCAGCTGTTTGCATCCTGTGGTTTGCGATTTATACACAAAACAAAATGATGAAAAAACGTTACGAAATTCCTGCACGGTAGCACAATTAGCTGGCCGCGTCGTTTAGTTATTCACAACAAGTAAGGTTTATGTGCGACGTTGGAAACAAAAGACAGATAATATTTTACACAAGAGTCAGGAGAGAAGTGAATTTTTGACAAAATGATAAATGCGTCAGAAAGATATCTATTGCTTTATAGCAGAGAATGACGAACTAATTAAAATATGAAAATCGTAGCTCACGGTTTCACGTACCATCCAAGTTACGAAGGGCTTAAGATCAACAAGTCCTCATCGGATAAAATCAGAAAACCTCATTAGTTTGTCTTTGTAATAGTCGTTTCAATCAATTGGTATGTGAAATGAATGTAGCATTGTATATTCTGCAAATTCCCACAAAGGAAAATATTTTTTCCTTTAGAGCGCGACAAAATCCCAGTAAGTTCGGCCTAAACCGAATGTAAACGGCATTTTTCGAAATTTTCCGTTTCAGTGGAACTTAGCTCAGTTACAATCATTTCCTGAAAGTTTTTCAGATATACTATGATTAGTTGTCGAGATAATTTTTCTACCTCTGATGTTTAGAGAGAGAGAAAAAAAGTTTTACGATTTTTTCTGTTAAAATAAAAAAATAACGACGAACAATAACAGTATTATTTAATAATAAGATAAACTAAAACACTCGAGCAAAATCAAAACTTCGGCCATGCTTTCTGTTCCTTGCTTCGGCATCATTGTTGGAAACGCGGGGCTGTCAATTTTTGTAACTTCGTTCTTCGACACACCATCTGCTCTAAAAAAATTCTCTTCCAGACTACGAGAAAGAGCACATTCAAAAGTACAAAAAGAACTGCGTCACTTTTGCTACACTTTTTTACGGAAATAATAGCAGAAGAAAAAAGTACAAGTCGAAAAAAATATCAAACTTAGATAGGTTTCGCTTTTTTCTCTTTCGTGTAATTTGCATAGTTTTCTTGACTGAAGTTCTGAAATTACAGTTTACGTATGGTTTTGTAGAGTATTTCGCGGCGCATCTTTTAAAAAAAAACACTTAGCTTAGGGTCGTAAAGAAACACGAGAAAATAGAAACTACTGAGATTCATTCTGCGCCACCCGTTTAGGGCTGTGACAGTTACCAGTTACCGTTACCACCCTTACTCGATAACTGTAACTGCTGAACAGCTGACGTTCTTAGTAACGGTAACGGATAAGCAGTTACCGTACAAGTAACGGCAACTGTTCAGTATATCTTTCAATAGTCAAATCTCTAAATATCTAGGTATCCCGGGTGAGGCCTCACCCTGGATACCTAGATATTTAGATAAGTGTTGAACGCACCGATTATGAGCTGTTATTCGTTTGTTAGCATTGGCTAAATATACCTCAGCAGCTTTATCTCTGATGGACATACGTTGTGAATTTTGAGAACCAAGATTTGTTCGACTACATTTATCAAACTGTGGCTGTTCAATAGCATCATCGGTTTTATTGGATGTACTTAAATGACATGTAGCAGATGAAGCTGGTTGGTTATTGACAAATGTTAAATCTCCTTCACTTGGCAATTGATGAGAAATTGTGTCTGGTAAATCCTCCTCATCCTGTATCCCTATTATCATAAATTAGAGTGTTAGATCGTAAGTCGAAGAATGGGATAAAGAAATACCTTGTTCCGCTATTACTTGCCACAACGCTAAATCAACTCTTGGTTTCTGACCGAACACAATTTCAAAAGGAACTGTGTCAACCCCCCGCGCTAAACTTGTGTTCCTTGAATATATAATAGCACCCAAACATTGAGTCCAGTGATCGGTCCCTCGATCATGCAAAAACTTTCCCAGTATATCACATAGAGTTGCGTTTCCACGCTCAACAAGCCCTTGAGACTGTGGATGCCTTGGTTTACCATTAATAATCACTAAACCTGGCCATATTAGATTTCCGGAATCGAAATTTTGCGAAAAAGTGCACCAGTTTTGCACCAGGGTGAGGCCTCATCCTGGATACTTAGATATTTAGAGATTTGACTGTTGAAAGATATACTGAACAGTTACCGTTACTTGTAACTGGTCATTATCCTTACTTGTACGGTAACTGCTTATCCGTTACCGTTACCAAGAACGTCAACTGTTCAGCAGTTACAGTTACTGTAACACTAAGGATAACTCTCACAGCCCTACACCCGTTACGCAGGCAAAGATAGTATTATGGTGAGTTTTAGCAAAACGTTTTAAATGCGAAGCTTTTTTAATGTGCTGAGACAGATCCTCCAGAGAGAAGTTTTATTATCAAGTTTCAGAAGGGAGTGAACTGTTGCAGCTCTGTACCCTCCAATTTCACTTAGAAAAACATCGACGTCACGACATGGAATGTTGAAATGTCTCAATGACATGTACAATAGAACACTTAAACATTTTGTACTGCAGTTTTGTTTACAAAATGCCATAACTTCGTTTACATGATTCAACAAATCTTTCGAAGTGAAATCAATATTACCTGTTTTTTGAAACATCAGGTCCTCGTCTTCGCTGGAAGAGTCCAACTATTTTTCTGAATAACTAGAACTCGTGCGTTTTTTTATTTCCAAAGTTTTTAAGTGGGTTTTTCTCTTATTATTTTTCGGCATTTTTGAAAAAAGTGAAATTTTTTTAAGTGACAAAAACAATTCTTAAAAAATGTTCTTACATAAAGCTTGCTCTGTGTACCGCCCAGCAGTGAATCATCCTCATGCATGGCGGTTGGCTAGCTGCTCGGACCAATCGAAATTGTTCGCGCTTCCTTCGAGGATGAGCGCAAGATGTCTTACGCGTATTGAATATTCAGGTTTGTGGTTACAAGACCGCTTTTTTCAGAAAGGTTTTCCTGAGACACTCCAGAGACTTCGTAGAGACCTGACGTGACTCTTATTAGATTCCCCATATCTTTTTACCCGTAATCTGTTAATTTGATTCGGTTTGGACGAAAACTGTGGGAGTTATAAAAAAATCACTTGGCCGTTGTCCGTTGGAACGTGCCGTTTTTAAAAGAAAGGCCGCTTATTATTATTATTTATTTTTAATTAATATTTTTTCCTGTACTTCGCTGAATAATTTGTAGTTATAACTACTTCGCTGTAGCGTATCCTAGATAGAACATACTCTAGATGTATTCAGTTATATAGGATCTATAAGGATATATCGCATTTTGTTTGAAAAAATTGATGTACCATGATGTATCTTTTTCTTACGATGAACCCGAAAAAAGATATATCACTGACTTGGAATAACACTCAGCGATATGTCATGCTGTATCATACATTGTATCCTAACATTAAAAGATATCATTTACTTTAAAAATTTTTGACTGAGCTGGCTACACTTCAGACTTCTCTTTCGATATTTTTTACATCAGTTGTACAGTGTATTAGTTTAGAATTTATTTTGAATACTTATTTTTCGTGGCTTGGGTGCCAGTAATTAAGCGCAACAGATGAACTGGCTTTTATTAAAAAAACATAAACAGATATGGTTTAGAATTCTCAATAGCCTTGCGTCTTCTTATTTGTCTAACGTAATTCTATGCGTTTATATTATATAGCCAAGCATGAAAATTAATCAGTTTCTGCATTAAAAATGATTAAATCCTGATTAGAACAAAAAACTATGGTTTTTGGAGAAAAGTTTTCCAGAGACCCCTTAAAGACCCTCTAGAGATCTCAAAAGTATACCCATTAGATTCATCATCAGTTTTTGCCTATGTAAAAAAATTTTCACTTTATTTGAATAAAAAATAAGCATTTTATTGAANGGAAAAAAAAGAATGCGGAGTTTTGTAGCTGATGGTATGTTGAGTTGAATGAGATAAAACATTTGACTTCATCGCTTATGTAAAAAAACTTGATACATTTACAAAAACGACTTATGCGTATTGCACTCGGTGTGAATTTCGCATTCCCGGCACCTTACTAATACATACTATGATTAATATTCAACCGCTACTTTTTTCATTATATCAAAATCAATGCGCGATCTCCACGTCTTTTGACAATTAAATGCACGATAATGTTTTATGTAAAGTTATGTTTTAAATGTTTAATGTAAAGTTAAATACCATGGAACTTATTTATTATATATCATATCCTGAGCCTTTCAGATCGAAACGTATGCTCAAGAGCTATCATATAAATCGGACTAATGTGTATTCATCGTTGAAGTTCTTCTAATCACTGAAGATTTTAGAGTTCTACTTTATTCTATTAACTTTCTTTTGAGATCAAAACTAATCTATTCTGTCTGTCTCTCTAAAAGTGCCTTACGAGTTCGATTTATCGTCAGGAGTTAAAGCAATTGTTTATCTCTACAGACATACATACAAGATTAAGTAATGAAAGTCCAGATGCTTCCCACTTACACAGATATTTTTACGTTAAGGGGGGGGGGGGGGGGCCACCCCATTTTATTTCCATAAAAAATTTTGAATTTTAAAACGCAACC